ATATTTTGTTTTTTTTTTGTTTGTTTTTGGTTTTTTTCCGGTACCAGGATATATATATTTTTTGGTTGAAATGTATTGAATAGTAAAACTATTTTTTAGGCTTTTTTTTCCACACTGGAAATTAAACCCATGATCTCACACATGCAAGGCAGGCACTCTGCCATTGAGCCATATCCTCAGCCCTAAAACTATTTAAAAAAAACAATAACTTCGTTCAACTGTTTTAAATTTCTGATTGTATAGAGGATTCAGAATTTGTTTTGTTTTGTTTTTCTTGTTTGATTTTTGATGCTACTAGATTTTGAGTTCTAGCTGTCTTTAGGGAGAGAAAGAAGGTGGACACTGTGATTGTTTCTCCACTTAATGGATCAGGTGCGGTCAGCTGTGAGGAGGACGCTTCCTATTCTGGTTATGCCTGGTGGTTTCTAAGTGAAGTGTGTGCCGTGGGGTTTTCTTTTGCTTTGTTTTGGTGTGTGTGTGTGTTTTCAGATAGGGTCTTGTCACGGAGTTCAGACTGGCCTTGAACTCACTATGTAGCCCGGGCTGGTCTGAAACTCACAGTGATCCTCCTGCCTCAATCTCCTGAGTACTGGGATTACAGGTGTGTGCCACCATACCCAGCTGTGTGTAATTTTAAAATTAATTACTTAACTAAAATTTTTTATTTGAGGGAGAATGTCACTATGTAGCCCAGACTGACCTCCAACTCCCTGTGTTCCTCCTGCCTCAGCCTCCCAAGTGCTGGGATTATAGGTGTGTACCACCTATTTTCTTTTTCTTTGAGTAGTATGTATCTTCAATGTACTTTTCTCTCACTGGAGATCTCTTTAAATGGTGCTGCCAGGTCCCTAATTTCCCATCCTAATCTCAGGTTCAACATCCCTTTGCTAGGTGCACTGGCCTCCTGACCTCTCCTACTCCTCCTGCTTCTTCTCAGACACTCGAGGCCCTTCAAGAGGAGATTCCAAACTGGGATGCATGGCAAGGGTGATGGCCACGTTTTCTTTTAAGGTATACTTCACCAAGAGACCTACAGACCCTGCTGGTACAAATTATTCCAATGGGCTTTCTGCCTTCAGAAATCTAGCTAAAAAACTGATTAGTGTTCTTGTTTGCGCAGGTTAAATGCTCACATACGCTTATGTCAGTCAACCCTGATTAGAATGGGCTGGCAAGTCCTGAGCTCCTACCCAGAGGAAATGACACAAAAGACTTGCCTTCACAGTCCCACTAATATTACCAGCGCCTCACTTGAAATGTCCTTATCTTTGGCTTGGGGAGAGGAGGAAGCACTTTTCTGCCTTGGAATAAATAAATATTATCCTACCACAAACACTGTAATATTCCATAAAGCAAATAACGCAAGTAATGCCTGTTTCTGTTTGTCCTATCAGTTCTTTTTCCTTTTTCTTTTCAACGCTGGGGATCAAAATGAAAGCCTTGTGTGCACTAGACAAGTGCTCCACCTCTGAGATACATCCCTGGTCCCCAGTCCATTTTTTTTCTCAGTACTGAACCCAGGGCTTTCTTTTATTTTTTTTTATTTTAAAGAATAAAAGAAGGATAACATAATAATAGGGGGGACTTAGCAAATTACAGACAAAATGGTAGGAAATTATCAATGGTTATAATTTTACATATTATTGTCTACAAAATAGTTTCTCAGGAAAACAAATAGACAAATAATAGTGAGTTAGAGACAAAAGAGGTAGGAGATTATCAAGAGTTGTTGTACTATACTTTGGTATCTTCAAAGAGGCTTCTAAAGAAAATAAATAGAGCTATACATGAGTGACCTATTGAAAAATCATTAACTATTCTCAATGGTTGTTGTAGGAAACACATAATAATAAACATACATCCATTTATGAAATAGGATAGGAACATTACAAACTTTACACAGTTATGGATAGATTAGTAGGAAAATATCAATGGCTGCTGTAATACATGGTTGAACCCAGGGCTTTCTAACCAAGCTACATTCCCCCACTTTTTTTTTTTTTTTGTCTTTTTGAGACAGGGTCTTGCTATGCAGTTTGGGCTGGCCTTGAGCTCACTTTGTAGCCCAGGCTGGTTTTGAACTCTCAATGATCCTCCTGCTTCAGCCTCGCAAGTGTTGGGATTACAGGCATGTGCCACCATACCCGGTTTACATCCTCTCTTTTAATTATTTTTATTAAGTACTAATTTGCCATTTTTAACTATATGAACTAAATTCTTGGTTATATAACAAAATCTATCACAAACCAGAAAATTGTACACAGTAAATATGCCCTCAGCATGACAATTTTACCCTCAGAGGAGAACATTTAAAAGGGGTTGGGGGGGGGTGGGAATAGAGAAATAGAAGAGGAAGAGATTAGAAGCAAGGCTGGAGGACAAAGGAAGATCATGCAAACTTTGGGAAACTGGTGATGAAGACAGGAGGGAAAGAGAGAAGGAAGAAGTAAAAACAAGAACAGCCCAGTATAACAACAAAACTAAAAACAATGTTCACATTCATATGAAAACAAGAAGGAACAAAATAAAACAAGAATTAAAAAAGAAGGAAATAAGAAAAAATGTCCGTTTCAAGGCATGTCTCTGCTGTCACTAGCAGACAGGGTTGGCAGACAGCGCCCAGATTCACACTGATTAACCCCAGCAAGCCAGTGGTAGGTTATGGCAGGGTAGTGGACAATCCCAGCAAGCCTGCGCTTTCCGTCCCGCTGAAGTTCGGGCTGGTTTCTGGCTGTGAGGCTGGACCCGGGTTTGTTCAGCCCGGAACGCTCAGTGTGCCTCCTGCCAGCTTGAACTCGGCTCTCTGACCTTTTGCCGAGTTGATCTCAGTTCCACTTCACCCTGTCAGCGGCAGCCACTAGATGGAGCCAGCTGGCAGTTGGCCCGCGTTCTGTCAGTTGGCCCCGCCCCAAGATGGCTACTGGCCAATCACCCTCTCTTGGGGGACGTCTGAACCAGAAGAACCCACCAGCCACTGCAGTCCACGGCATCCACTGCTGTGTTCCACTAGTGCGTTTCTCCGTGGAGGCCTCTAAGGTTGCCAGTAATCACCCTGTGCTGTCCCTTCATGGTTTGAGCCACGCCCCTTGCAGTGAGTCACTGCTCAGGGAGAAAGCACCACTTGCTACCTCCTTCTTCTGGGTTGAGGTCTCTCTCTTCAGTCTCCCCGTGGGCTTCAGCTTGCTGGGTCTCAGGGACCCACTTTCTTCCTTCTTCTGTTCCTCATGTTGTTATATTCCAGGGCTGGATACCAAATCTCGGGCAGGCTCTTTCCCTGCTGTTCACTACTCTTGAACAGGGTCTCACTAAATTGATGTTTCCCAGGCTGGGCTCAAATTTGAGATCCTAGCTGGATGTGGTGGTGCATGCCTGTAATCCAAGTCTGTACTCAGGAGGCTGAGGCAGGAGGATCACCACGAGTTTGAGGCCAGCCTGGGCTACATAATGATTTCAAGGCCAGTCTGGTGAGATCCTGTCTTAAAAAATGAAAACAAAAATACTCCAAAACAAATTTGCAGTCCTTTGCCTCAGCCTCCCAAATTTGCTGGGATTACAAGTGTGCACCACCATGCCTGGCCCTGTTCTTTATACACCCTGTGGTGGAGAGAGGAGTGACGTTGGTAGAAATGTGCTTGACCGTATCTCCTCTTCGTAAGATGTGGAGAGCCCGACTCCAAAGGATGCAACTCCCATTGGAACAGAAGGGGTGCTTACCGCCTCTCATCCTTACTTGGGGACAGGAGGACAATTCTGGGACAACAGGATAAGTTGCATTCAACATCCTTGACACTGGGTTCTTTCGGCCAGTTCCTGAGCCCCTGTGCAGATGGACTGGACAGATAGTGTAAATACCTGATAAAAGGGCATGTTTTTGCTTTTTCGTCTTTTTTGAAAAAGGGTCTTGTTATGTATTCTAGTTCAAACTGGCCTTAAACTCATTATGTAGTCCAGACTGGCCTTGAATTTGGGCTAGTCCTTCTGTCTCAGCCTTTCTAGTGCTGGGATTATAGGTGTGCATCACCATGTCCAGGTAAAAGGGCATTTTTAAAAATTAAAGATCCTAAAAAAAAAAGATTAAAGATCCTGTTGTGATAACTAGGCTGCCTAAAAATAAATTAATAGCATAAAAATTGACAGGACAGATGTAATAGGTTATAAAATGGGACTCTGTCTCATTATAGCCATAGTGTAAAGTCCAAAGTTAATCAATAGACAGCAGGTACTCTTACCTTGCAAAGAGGGACCTCAGAACCAGGCATAGCAAAAGAAGTGGCTGTAAACCATTTTTGAGATAGTTAATACTCACCCTGGAAGGGGTGAAAAGGGTTGAGAATGAAGAGGCAGTAACACTTTTGAAATGTTGGGTTTTTTTGTTGAAAATGTTGGTATTTTCCCTCTGTACCTTACGGACGAAACAAATGGACTGTGTTCTCTTCAAGCTTGATATGTTGCCTATGGTTTATGAGACACAGTGGTCTGCTTTTCTGTTTTGTTTGCATTATTTTTAAGAATTTTCCTTCTATTCTTATTGGATTTGTGTATATTTAAGTATGTGAAATATTAGTATAGTTATCAAGCAAAGCCATAAAAGCTATACTCAGAAAGTGTCACTACTTGCCTGGCATAGTGGTGCACACCTGTAATTGCAACACTCAGGAGGCTGAGGCAGGAGGATCACTGAGAGTTTGAGGCCATTGTGGACTACACAGTGAATTTAAGGTCAATTTGAACTACATAGTGAGACTCTGTCTTAAAAATAAAAAAAATGAACAAAAATTTTCCATTTTGTTGGTTGTCTTATTATTCTGTTGCTTCTTTTGCAATGCAAAAGCTTTTTAAGCTTTTTTGCTGTATAAATACAATTTTGTCAATTAACATAAGGTAATTAACATAAAACAAACAAAAATACTCCTAGCTATAAGGATATTAAAGATAATTAAATGAATTATATGTACATATAGGCAATATTTTAATATAAATATATTCTAAATAAATTCTATGCATGTGTTTGTATACATATGTATATTATAATTAAAACAATGCTTCATAACTTGCTCCAATTAGTACATATTTGGCAAAAGTAGCCAAGAGGTAAGGTTTTTTGAGTAATTTTTTTGGGTTTCTCTCTCTCTCTCTCTGAAACCTATGGACTCAAACTGAGGCAAACTTGTGTAACTTTTCCCTCTCCCCTAGAAAAGCTAAGCTGGGGAACTCCATAAACTTTCTCATGATGCTGGGAATAGTTTCCTAGTGTGTCCCACTATGTTGGAGGAGGGAGAGGAGTGCATGGCCTCTGTGTTTGTCACAGCTGGTATGAGCCCCACAGGTCCACCTTGAATTTATCTCCACTTTTCTTTCTTCTTTTCCCCATTTTCCATCACTAATTGGAGTAAAAAGCAGCCTGCAGGCCTGTGATTAACCTACTTGTGGGACATGTGATCATTCAGGTTCCATGTGTGGGACCTGGAGTTTAGTACGCCCTTTGTCCTTAAAGTTCTGTGCTCTGTGATATTTTTCACAGGTTTCTTACTCTTAAGCTTTTTAATTTGATATGATCCCATTTTTGATTCTTGGTGCTATTTCTTGTGCAGCAGGGGTTCTGTTGAGAAAGTCCTTTTCTATGTCTATGCCTTCAAATGTATGTGTTTGACTTCTTTGTTAAAGATCAAGTAGTTGAATGTACTTGGGACTGTTTCTGCATCCTCTATTCTGTTCTGTATGATCCTCATTTCCGTTTTTGTGCCAGGACTGTGCTATTTTTATTACTGTAGCTTTGTGATATAGCTTTAGGTGTGGGAATATGATGCCTCCTGCTTCACTGTTTTTACTCAGGATTGATTTTGCTATTCTAGGTCTTTCTGGTTCCAAATGAATTTTAGGATTGTTTTCCTCACTTCTGTGAAAAATGCTTTTGGGATTTTGATTGGGATTGCATTAAATTTGTCTATCAATTTTGGATATATGGTCATTTTGACTATATTGGTTCCACCCATGCAAGAGCATGGGATATATTTGCATTTTCTTTTTTTTTTTTTTTTTTTGTCTTTTTGAGACAGGGTCTCGCTATGTGGTTCAGGCTGGCCTTGAGCTCACTTTTTAGCCCAAGCTAGTCTCGAACTCACAATCAGCCTCCCAAGTGCTGGGATTACAGGCGTGCACCACCACGCCCGGGCGGGAGTGTCTGTTTCAAACACACATGGGTGCACCCACGCATACACACACACAAGAAAACAATTTCAGTTTCCAAAATTATCTCGTAAATTTCTGTGTAGACAACTCTCTTTACAACTATAGCTGCTTTTTGTTTTTGCAGGGCTGGAGACAGAACCTAGAGGCCTCCTGCACACTAAGCAAGAGGTCTCCCTGAGCTACACTCCCAGCCATCTGCCTAGCATGAGCTAGTGAGGTTTTTGGGGGTTTTGTTGTTTTGTTTTTGGGCACCGGGGATCAAACTCAGGACCTTGCACTTTCTGGGCAGGCGCTTGTGCCGCTGAGCTATATCCCCAGCTCCATGAACTACTGTTGGGAAGATAAAAGTCTAACATGCTTCTTGCTGTGGGGATTTATATTTTGCCATGATTTGTTAAAGTATATTAAGGAATTGCTGGGCATGGTGACGCACCCTTGAGATCTCAGCACTCAGGATGCTGAGGTAGGAGGGTCGTTGTGAATTTGAGCCTAGCCTGAACTGCATAGCGAGATGCTATCTCTAAAAATTTATATCTATATCTAATATCCTTTAATGTATGTGGTCTTGATGTGAAAGGGACTAAAAAGTTGTATAAGAAATGACCCTTGTCCTTATAATGCAGTTGGAACAAAAAGAACAAAAATATATCCTTAAGAAAAATTAACTCATGGGGCTGGG